CCCCATTGGAGAATGGCAATCAGCATTAATGGATTGCTGAGATTTGTAGTCTTCTATAGCCAGTTGTCATTCTCTATTGCTGTATAATCATTAAGTATACAGCACTGGAGAATGGCAAAACATTTAAAGGGCCAGTATCGGCTGTGCCACCCCTCTACTACCTGCTGCCCCGAGGCCATGGCCTTGGTGGCCTTGTGGGGAATCCGACCCTGTTATGATCATGTTAGGGCCTAGGGGGCCCTAACATGATCATATATAATTTTAGTGCAGTTTGCCCTGAACTTAAAAAGTTAGAGCAACAGTGACACCTGTTGGTTACAATTGGGTATTGCTACTTTCCACCATCAACTATGTAACAAAGGTGGTTGTTTGAAGGATAACAATACTGTTACATTAATAAAAAGTCTCCTTCCCTACCCGCCCTATTCCCATCCATATCCTGTACTACAGATCTCGGATCCGCTGGTGAACACCTTCATGGGCAATGCCGACTTTTGGTGGCTCTGCTTCCTGAGTTGTGCATGCTTGGCTTATCTCTATAAACCCCAATAGAGAAACCATCTTCCTGCTAGAGGCAGTGTCAGTCAGTGGATAAGGTAGCTTGGCTGATCCGACGTCTGTAGTAGGGGATATAGATGTATGGAAAGGTGGGGGAAAGCTTGTCCCCGAATTATGAATAACCATTGTTATCCTTTAAATGGGGCAGAACGTACCCTGCAGTGAAATATAAGGCACATGTCTGTCCTGCATGAAGAAAATGCAGCTGAGCTATAATGACAGGTAGCTTGGCATTCTTTCCTATATCTCCATGCTATTGCCAAAATGGAAATGCCACTTTACAGTCCAATCACTATCCTGCAGCCAGAAAAAGCTGCTGAACCCTTACAACTGCCACCAGGGCCGAATTTACTCTCCCTGCCGTCCCAAGGCCAGGTTCCTCAATGCGCCCCCCTCCCTGCCAAACCCCCACCTCCCCATTTGAGAATGGCAACCACATGGTGGGGCGGCAGGGTTAGTTTTAATTTTTGTTATTGTTTATTTTTTTTAAACTTTTTTTATCATTGTTTTTTTATTTTTACTTTTTCAATGTTTGTTGTTTTTTTTACTCTTTTTTTAAATAATTTTTTATTTATTTTTTTATCTTTTTTTCTTATTACTTTTTAATCACCTTTTTATATATATCCCCGCTCTACATTTAGCCCTTCTTGCCCAAAGCAGAGCTAAATGTAGAAAACAACTACCCGCCCTGCACTTCATATCCTGGGCATCGGGAGATTGCACACCCCTGCCGCCTCTCTGCTCCCTGCCGCCCTTGGTGGCCTTGTGGCAAATCCGGCCCTGACTGCCACCTTATTTTTTTGTAGTGCTGCCGGGCCCATTTAGCTAAAATGCTGAACTTGTACTGCTTTACCCCTGAACCCTATTTTTTATTCTAGAATAGACTATGAAAGCTCCACTTCAATAGCTGTTCTCCCAAAACTTGGCGGAACCATAATGGGAACCTAATCAGTCCCTCAATAAAGGGCACATGCTGACCCCATTACAGTACCACAGTTCTGCAAGTCAGTTCTGTCATTTGTCTACAATTTTTTTTTACCACTGAGTGACTATGTTTCAACTAATATTCCTAAATCTATTGTGTGTACAAAGTAACCAGACTGCAGCACCCGCCGATTTCACCTTCATTGTGACAAACAACGAAAAGCAAAACTTCTCCGATCATAATGATGAGTGTGAAATCCCCTCAGCTTCCCCCAGAATTAAACAGCATCGGGGAACTCCTAATGGAGCCAAAATATAACTACTCTTCATTAAAGACAGGAGCCCCCTCCTCCTTCCCCTTATTAATTCTCATCATTGTTCAATGTCTATTTGTAGAATGTTATATATTTGGCACTTAGGACATTCCTACCCAAACTATACAATATCTTCTGCTGTACAAACAAGAGGAAACATAGACGGGGTCCTGACTGTGAATACTGAACCGAGCGTTTTCCCGGACTCTTTGCACAGCACGGTTTACTTAAAGGGCCAGGTATCCAAAACTGATATTTTAGATCAGTGGAGGACCTAAGAAACAAAGAGCCCTGGTGCACGATTGTTTCTGCCCCCCCTCCCCCAAAAAAACCCACAAACCCCCCCAATCCACACCATAGCATTGCTGTATAAAGTACTGCGGAGATTTGTAGTCCTCTATAGAGGGTGCCATTCTGCATTGCTGCAATGCAGAATGGCACCTGCTATAGAGCACTACACATGCCAACATTACTATATACAGCATGTCCATCAATTAGGCTACAAACCATCACTGGGAGTGTTGGATGATCCGGTCGGTATCCGGTAGCCAACAGGCCCCCACTCCCTTCTCTGCACTGGGAGTGTTGGATGATCCGGTCGGTATCCGGTAGCCGGCAGGCCCCCACTCCCTTCTCTGCGCTGGGAGTGTTGGATGATCCGGTCGGTATCCGGTAGCCGGCAGGCCCCCACTCCCTTCTCTGCGCTGGGAGTGTTGGATGATCCGGTCGGTATCCGGTAGCCGGCAAGCCCCGCAGAGAACGGTGGGCCATCAGATCGGTATCGGGGCCACCGTTCTCTGCGATACCGATCTGATGTATCCGGCGGCTGGCAAGCCCCGCCATCTTGCTGGGACTGTGTTGGAGGATACTGGGCCCCTCCAGGCTCAGGCCGCTGTCCGCCCCTGTTTTAGATCAAGGAGAATGCCAGAGGACTGAAATATCTGCCACTTTCCATCACTTTGCCCAAATATTCACTCTGTAGCCTGAAATGGGTCGACTGACCCAGTGGTTTACTTTTGGAGTGAAGGGGTTCTGGGAAACAAGCAATATACCCCATACAGACTCCAGGAAAGTTTGGCATCTCCTATATGGTTTAATTCAAACTTAAAGCTGGAGTTTTATGTGCTTATATTTTGCCTACCCCTCCCCCCTCATTGACATGTAATAAAACTTTTCTGTTTTCATTGCATACCTTATTTTAGAGCCAGTGGTGTCATCCCTGGGTCTCTGTGCTTGTCTGTGCAATACAGACAGATTAGGACTGGTGGGAGGGGACGGCAGGGAGCTGTACATAACTACTTGAAAACATCACAGCACGCTGCCACAGTACTCCTCAAGAATTTTGAAATTTGCATAATCCCTCCCAAGATTCAGCCCACTGCTTGCATCAGGGTTGAATCTTGGGAGGAGTTATGCAAATATCAAAATGCCCTGATGGGTGGATGTCAGTCTGGAGGAGTGGGCGTTTCTAGGCAGGCTGTATTTGCAGGCAGACCAACCTAGGTAACGCCCACATGTGATGCTGAGCCTCCAAGATTGACAGAACTGAAATGCAATTAATTAAAGGGGCGGGTCCACGGCCAGTCAGGCTGAAGAGGAAAGTATTGATGATGCTGGGCATCCTCTAGCCAGGAAATGAGGTGGAGCTCTATCTGATTGGCTGCAGCGTCTAATGTACATTGTGAGAAGCTCTCAGTGTGCAGTGATACCGTGTTTCCCCGAAAATAAGACAGTGTCTTATATTTTTTTTTCTACGAAAAAAGACACTAGGTCTTATTTTCGGGGGATGTCTTACCTGGCTGCAGCTGTCCGCTCTGCCGTCCAGGGAGCCAAGGACGCAGGTCAGATAGAAGACTGAAGGGAAGGACGCAGGTCAGATAGAAGACTGAAGGGAAGGACGCAGGTCAGATAGAAGACTGAAGGGAAGGACGCAGGTCAGATAGAAGACTGAAGGGAAGGACGCAGGTCAGATAGAAGACTGAAGGGAAGGACGCAGGTCAGAATTGAAATTCTGAATTTAGAATTGAACAGATAAATCCAGTGCAAAGCTCAAAACAGAGACATAAGAAGTGGTAAGAACCATGGGAAATCTGTGCAGAGAAATTCGGAATCTAAAGTTGTAAAGCTGAGAGACGCTAAAAACACGGTGTCCTGACTTTCTCCTTCCCTTTGACTATGAACAGGTTTGGAGGGGCCCATCCTGGGATGATGCATGAGCTGCAGGCGCGACTCCACAAGAAGAAGCCAAAGGAGTGACGGAGAGGGGAGGACTCTACATTGCGTGTGTGAATGGTTACTTTGTATGTATATAAAAACTACAATAAAGAACGATTGTATCATTTCCCAGAATACGCCTTTTGTATCCATAGAACATCCAGGCCGCCCTTAAAGTGACACTAACCTCCGGAGCTCAATCTTTAAACTCCATTCAAGTCCCTGAACTATGAATAACAATGTATCTTATTTGTGTATCACTCGGCTGTAGAGCCTCCAATCATCTCTGACACTGTCCTTCCTTCTGGAGGGGGGCTACTTGTGTTCCCCATGGTCCCTGTGTGTGTTGTAAAGTAGTCACCGCTCCAAACTCACTCCCGGGATGGACTACAATCTCAATACAAATCAGTAAACTAAACATGAGATTGTAATCCATGCAGGGAGTGAGCTTAGAGCGGTGACTACTTTACAACACACACAGGGATCATGGGGAACAAAAGTTCCCCATGGTCCCTGGGAGGCAGGTGATACGTGTAATTGGATGCAGACGCCTGTACCTCCTTGTGGGAAGACACGGCTGCATGCGGTTACATTCTAACCCGACCCTGCTCATTTGTGCCGGTCCGGGTCCCAGACAGTGTGTATCCTAGTGCAGGAACCCGGACCTGCAAAGATGTACAAGTTTGGGTTGGCATGTAACCACGTGTAGTTGTGTTTGCCCATAAGGATGTACAGGCGGCTGTAAGCAATTATAAGCAGCAGCTGTCCCTCCAGGGCGCAGGTCTCTGCATGGGCATGCACACCCACGTAAATGAGCCCTTCAAGGCACCAAGCGATAAGACTGCATGCTGCCACGTCCTCTCGGGAGCAGTCCTCTGCACAGGCATGTATGATGTATAGATGTGCACGCCTGTGTAAATGAGCCTCAACAATCAGCCTTTTGTCTCCGGTTAGTCGTGATTAACTCAGGTCTTTGCTGTGCACACCTGCCCTCATTAGTTTACTTTAAAGCGAGGTTAGAACGTCAAGCCTGCACTTGAAGAATGGGTTTATCTGTTTGCTAAAGCCCTGGATAGCAGGCTGTCTCTGACTTCTGCCTGACTGTTCATGCCTTAGTTTTCAATGTGAACTTCTCGGACAGTAACAGTCACAGCTTACCACCATCATTAGTCTGCTCCCTGTTTACCATTCTGGAACCAGGACTCTGTCTGATTCTATTTCCGTCTGCTATGTGCTCTGACCACCTTCGAGGACTTGCACATCTCAAGCATCTGTCCTTCTTGCTGTGGCCTCTGGCAGTACAAAGGGTCTATGCAACTCCATGACAGTGCTATTGGTGCTTACCCAATAGAACTGCATTCTTGCACCTATCAGGTCCTGCCTGGGGTGACCCCTTAGAGCAGGGGTCTCAAACCTCTGGCCCTCCAGCTGTGGTGGAACTACAAATCCCATGAGGTATTGCACAGAGAGATGCATCGTGGGATTTGTAGTTGCACCACAGCTGGAGGGCCGGAGGTTTGAGACCCCTGCCTTAGAGCCACGGTGGCTAGCTCAGTAGATGTTCTCTAGGGTTCAAGCCCCATTTTGATTCACCATCCAAGAGACAGGAATATCTTTGCACAATTGTAGCGAACACTGAGAATCCAGCAAATTGTTGACGTCTTGCCATAAAAGCAATACTGAAAATAAAAGTGAAGTGTTATGTTCCGGCAATGCTGGGCGGCTTCTGTTTTGTAAGCACCGAGCTGCAAGACGTATCCTATAAACACCCTAAAATGGGGATGTTTTATGTTTTGGTATGTCAGTACTAGAATACATCACATGGACTTTGTGGTCAGAGAGAATTTCCCTCTTTCCTCTCAGTGACTCAGAACGTAGTTTGTGTTTCCAGCATCTCCTACCAGGGATCTTCCGAGACTTCCTTCTTCGTAAACACTGGACCACTTTTAGGACAACGTACTGGAATAGTAGATGTGAGAGTGATGAGTAGAAAGGGGTATAGGGTCAGTCAGGCCAAGACCGGAGTGTTGGTTCCTGGTGACTGCTTACAGGGTGACTCACTTTCACTGGTTTCCAGGCTGCTAGAAGACCTCATCGATGCGTTTCCTAAACTCAACTTTCCAACTGATCCACCTGCCCTCATGGCAAGGAGCTTTAACGCTCCCTTTTGACCCTTATCCCATTATGAAGCCCTTAAGAGATAAAACACCATAGAAGTCAGCCAACCAGACCCTGCCCCTGACTGAAATGTTCATTTTGGGTAGAATGACCCTTAAAAGTACAAAAAAAAATCTCACGGCTTCCCAGGCTTCTAGAAGACCTTAGTGATGAGTTTCATCAACCCAACTTTCCAACCGGTCCACCTGCCCTCATGGCAAGGGGCTTTAACTCTCCCTATTGGCCCTTATCCCATTATGAAGACCATATGAGGTAAAATACCATAGAACTCAGCCAACCAGACCCTGCCCCTGGATGAAATTTTTATTTTGGGTAGAAGGACAAAAAGGGAAGAGTTAAAACCCCTTGCCACATGGGTAGGTGGACCAGTTGGAAATTTGGGTTCAGGAAACTCATCACTGAGGTCTTCTAGAAGCCTGGGAAGCAAAGCTGTGAGAGTGATTTCTGCCCATTCAAGTTACAGGTTCCCTTGATAGCCTTTTCCCCTATGCTACTATTTAATTCCACTACACATAAACCCCCCCCCCTCGACACTCCATTCACCAAACACAACTAATTGAACCCTGTAGCCCTTACCTCATCACTCTCACGTTTACTATAAAACCCTCCAGGTAGGAGAAAGCATGTGACCTTCCACCCAAAGTGCAGTATGTGGCACCTAAGCAACCAATCAGTTGTCCGGTGGGTGGAAGCAGTGTTTAGTCCAGTAAAGGCTCCAACATAGATGGACTCTGAGCTTACCCAGGACTTTTAATTCAGGGCTCCTGCATGAGAACAGGGCACCAGGAGAGCACTAGAAAGGAATAAAGAGAACCTGTCACTTTCCTCTGAACGTGCTTCACTTGAAACCCTCGCTACAACACAAGGATTCCCTCTACAGTCCATATAAAATGCCGTCCCTTTTATCCAAAAAGGCCCACACCATCACAAAACAAAACTAGCACCATATACACCAACCGAACACATTTTTTTGTGAGATGCAACTTATTTTATTTCACTTACAAAAAAATTAATATAAAACATATATTCGATAAATAAAATCACAAATATATAAATAGGTTAACAATATTCATTTTAAACAACCACAAAACAGGC